TTTGTAATTGTTGAAATGTTGTCCATGTCAGACATTGTCAGTATACATTTGATTATTTTTTTATCAACATGGAATTAAGTGAGTTGTAATAAACATGAATTAACATTTCATTGCTGTAAATTGAATTATTTTCAACAGTGGGCACTAACAATGGCACTTGGTCACATTTGTCTTTCCTTACTCTCTCTTTACATTTTCCTCACAATTTCAGTGTATCTCCCATCAAACTTAAGCCGCCCCTCAGCAAATTCATCAACAAGTTGAGGCAGCATGGATGAGAAGTAGAATGCTCTCAACCGTTTCACCTGTTCTGTGACAAACAGCTCATCAAATGGTACACTAAATACCAAACTCTCATCTGGTGTCCAGATCATCAGTCTGGCTGTCTTGAGACCTGTGCAAAACATTCCTAGTTGGACTTGCATGTAATAGCCCCGGCTACCAGTTTTCTGAACCTCAAGTTTTCCATCCACTACCTTAAAATCACTGAATCTCTGAGATAACAGTTCACTGAGTGTCTGGTGATTTTTATTTGGGACGGGGCATTTAATCTCTAAGAGCTCACAGGAGTTGATGATTCCATCCGGACTTGCTGATAACCATGGCTCTGCCCCACATACAATTGTGCCTGTGTGTGTTATGTTCATTCCCTGTTCTTTCAATTGGTTGCAAGCTGTTTCTTCATTTTCTTTCCCATAATTAGTGGCATAGTTACCACGAAAGCTGGGGTAAAAGTGCTCACACAAAAACTTTTCACTATTTGTGCCTGCACGTACAGGCACCTTCTTTGCTGAACTGGCTGTGATTCTAAGTTTCCTAGAACTGTGCCACAGATCAGATGCACTCTGCCCCCTCGTCTCAAGTTCTAGTGTATCAGCTTGTTTGCCATCCATACTAACATAAGCCTGGTAGAATTTTTGGCATTTCACACAACTCAGATCATTGTCATGATTTTGATGTGACAAAATTGTTAAATCATTGATGGTTCCCTGTTCTTTTGAACTCCCCTTTTGTTCTGCTGATGGAGTGGCATTGTAACACTTTTCCAGTAGTGTATTCTTGAGAAGAAATAGAGGTTTTGTTAGAGATTTGTCCACACTCTCTCTAAAGTCTTTGTGGGACTGATACTGTGGTGTGTTTGGGAGCTGACTGCCAACTGCCCTAGTCTCTTCCTCATACTCATCCTCTGCCTTGTGGTGCCTAAAATGAATCTGGCTCAGACGCTTGGGCTGAAGGTTCTTGGATGTTCCTTCATTCCATCTCCGCTGTGTGTCAGTACATGCAAGCCCTGTCTTTCCACTAACCACTGCATTCTGGACCTGAATCAGCCATAACATAATGTTGATGACATTTTTGTACATTAACGGCATTGCACACTACAGTAGGCTACTGCATAAATTCAATATTTCGAACACAGACATTGTCCTGCACTTTACTTAGAATAAAAACTGCAGTTAAGCTGTTTTTGTAAGGGGTATTCTTTATTGTTTTCAATAATTTACAGATTTAATGTGTAGCAAGATCGCTCTAACAGCCTATACCTACCTTCCAAATGACAGCTGCTGCATGGCTACAAGATTTTCCTAGCCCTGCAATGCATGAACAGCCGACTGTTTCGATTATACCAATCGGCCTCGTCATTATCCAAGCAAGTTGTTTGGGCTTGTTGATGCTCTGACTCGGCTCGACCTCAGCCTTAAGGAAGATGAACTCGTCGTATTTTGTACACAGTATTTTTCCAATTTTGTTGCTGTGTAGATAGTTGTAAGCCTCTGTGCTCTTATAATTTCGTAGTGTCTCACCATCAACACCCTCACTAAGCACGAAATAGTTAACGATATCCACATAGCTAACGTCTGGCCACAATTTCATATCGTCTACCCATTCCGTTAAGGTAGACGGATGGGGCACTGTAACTGTTCTATCGCCAGTTCTCGTAAGATAGTCAGGTCCATGGGACCATCTGTGAGATGTGCTCATTTTGCCAGCGGCGTTGTTGTAAGAGTATAGCACTTCTACTCCTAAATACTAATAGCGTTTAGCTGATAGCAGCAGCTACAGGCTAATGTAAACAGGAAGTTTGATACCGGCTTGTTCTAAGCATTCTACGTTACCATAGCGATTCATGGAAAGGTCAAAGTTCGGGAAAGTTGTGTTGAAGTCCAACTTCGAAGAGTTCCTGGCCCGTGTCACATATCAAATCAAAGAGGCGCAACAAGAGAGGAAGGAGATGGAGAGCACCCTCAGAAGGTGACATGATGATTCTTTATGCAACATGAAATGAGAATGAATTTAGAGCAGTGCCATCTAAAGTCGCATGTTTAAGAGCCAAAAATCTCCTTTGTTTTCTTATTCCCCCCCCATGTTACTTGTGAATAATCCCCGTTTAGAGGCTTAATGTAATTCCCTATAGAATGCTGTTTTATCCCTCCAGTGACCACCAAGTTTACCCAGGTTTTTAAACTTCTGGTGGGAATAAAATGTATTTTGATCAAATCTAGGTCAGAATGATGTGATTTACAACATGCATTGTTTAAAGATACACACGAAATCTTATGATCCTTTAATTATTACCTGGATTTGCAGGTCTGAGCCAGTGGTTTGGAATGTAAATACTGTGAGAATTTGGAAAATAATTCTATAATATGAAAGACTTGTTTGTGTTTTATCTTTGGATTGTATTAGGCTAAATGCATGTTTTAACATTGAACGCTATTGTCGTTGCACAGGAAAGCAGCCACACATGACAACGAAATTCGCAGATTATATGAGGAAATGGAGCAACAGATCATTAATGAAAAAGATCAAGCAATTCTGAAGGTAAAAACATTCTTATGAACCGTTGCATGTGCCTTTACACTATACAGTTGAGAATATTTTTTTTTTAAAAGAGAGAAATTAATACTTTAATTAAGCAAGGATGCATTAAATGAATCAAATGTGTCAGTAAAGACATTTGAACTTTCTAAAATTATGAAAAAAATGTATCAGTTTCCACAAAAATATTAAGCAACACAACTGTTTTCAACATTTATAATAATTAGAAATGATTTTTGAGCAGCAAATTAGCATATTAGAATGATTTCTAAAGGATCATGTGACACTGAAGACAATTCAGCTTCATACATTTCAGTTATTTTGTATCGTAATACTACTGAAATTCTATGTTAATTCTCTGTTTCAGGACTCTGAAAATCTGCAGTTGCGCAGTCAGGACCTCCAGCAGCGGCTCCGTAGTAAAGAACAGGATTTGGAGCAGCTTTTCCAAAAACAAAGGAGGGTGAGAGCCACAAATGAACAGGCAGAATCATACAAAATCTTATACTTTTAAGACACCTTTTTCAACTCACAGCTGTTTTATATAATTTTTTTTCAGTTAGAGCGACAATGCCGTGACCTTCATAGCGAACAACAGGAGAGTCGACTGGAGAATGTTAAACTGAAAATGACCAATGAGGAGTTGTCTCGTGAACTTGAGCACACGTGCCAGGAGCTGGAGTTGGCTCAGGAGCAGCTGGGCATTCTGCAGGAGCAGGCGTCTCGACTACAGCAGGAGAGAGAGATGTCAGTCTGGCCATTTATTACGTACACACGGAAATCCCACCAGTGTCTTTGTGTCTCTCATACACACACATGCGCTTTACCCTCACAGGGAGATGTACAGAATCACAGAAGGCTTGCAGAGAGAAAAACACAGCTTGATGAAACAGTTAGATCTACTCAGGTGAGCTCGGTACATCCTTACATATGCTGTAGACAAACAACAAACATCTCAAATGAAATGTTGTTCTTTTAGAGAAATGAATAAACATCTACGAGATGAGCGAGACATTTGCTTTCTGGTAAGTTTACGATTTAAAATATTTTCTTTTATTCTTACATTTTAATTTTAGTTACATTTTATTGTAATTTGGTTGTGCGGTTTTGTAAATTTTATTAGTTTTTTATGTTTTTATTTATTTATTTATCCTTATGATCTTAAAACATTTTGTTCTAAAGCTTAGACATTAGAAATTAATTTAGCATTTTGTGGTCACATAATAATTCCCATATTTCCTTTATTTTGTGTCTTTTCATAGTTTTGATGACTTTACTGTTTTTCTAAAACGTGGAAAATGCTAATAATAAAAAATGAGTGGGTGTGTTCCAACTTTTGACTAATAAGAGCAATCATAAACAGAATATCTCCTTGTAATTTACAACAGAAACGCAGCAATTCAATGAAGAAATCCTCACGCAAGCACAGACTGAGCGCAGCTTCAATAAAATACACTGAGAGGAAACCATCTGTCAAAAAGTGAGACATCTTCACATATTCGCACGTGGATACCTACGTACATGATTTAATAACATGGAAACATTTACTCTCACCTCTCACTGTCATTTCAGAGAAGAAAAATGTGATGCCTAATAATAATCTTTTAAGATCTAAATCCATTTTATCATTATATTTAGGTAAATAATGCTGTCAGCAGCTGAACTGCCTAATCGTTTTTTCAACTTCTTTAAACGTTTATAGTGTTTTGCATAATTTTCTCATTTTCCTCTAACTGCTTTTTAAATATATATATATATATATAATTGTGACAAACGTAATGAATGAATGGTATCTTTTGTTTATTAGGTAAAAAATATTGATATCAAAATAAAAAATAATAGGCAACATATTAAAATACAAATTCTACAAAATTTGTTGCAATGCATGTAACCTGTTATACAAAAATATGTCAGATAACGAAAACACGAATCTTTAACAGCAGTTTAAGTAACCCCCATATCTCCAGTAACTGTAATATGATTTGATGAAGAGGCAGTGGGTGTGGTCAGTGAGTCACATGGCTCCTCCTCATTTACTTGACTCCTCCTCCACATCATCATAGTCTGTTTTTGAAAACAAAAGCAAACTGATCATTTTCATTGTAATAATTACATCAAGATGTAGTTTAAATGAGAAACATAACAAATAAAAATGAATGTATAGAAATATTACAAAAACCTACCCAACAGGTTTCTGTCATCTTCATTGCTGTTCTTCACATCATCATACTCCTCCTGATCTCCCTCTGATTCACATGTGAAATAAAACCTCATATTGTAGTTTGTAAATCAGCTTGTGTCATTGATGTTGTTATTGATCTCTTTCACCTCATGACTGTCTGAGATTATTAGATTTACTCCTGATAAAGTCATGATTCATTAATGGTAGAAACGCGTGTCCAATGTTAATGGGTGAAGGGTGATAATGAAATGCAGTTCTGTGTGACTCTCACCTGTTACATCTTCAGAGATCTGTTCATTAATGATGACATCATCATAATGCTCTGGTGTGTCCACTACACATGAACATATAGACACAGCAAACATTGCATTATATCTTACAATGTAATGGGATTAACCCATAATATCATAAATACTATAAAAGGCTTATGGTAAATACACCAATAACAATAAAAAGTAAACACCATTTTTGATAGAGTTCTGTCCACTTGTCATTACATCATCATAGCTCTCAGGTGTGTATTCTGTAAATTTAACATGAGACAATATATAATGTATATATATATATATATATATATATATATATATATATATATATAACAGATTTTAATATATTTTAGATATTTCTTCCTATTATAGAATAACCGAATGACACCTGTCTCACGATCTGGTTTCAGTCCATCAGTGATGACATCATCATAGTATCCCGGTGTGATTTCCTTCATCTCTTCTGCATCAAAACATGTATATTTTGGGCATTTTTATTTTATTTTTGGGAAACAAAATAAATGTAAAATATACTGTTGCATGCTTTGGGTAATGAATGTTAGCTGTGTCTCATTTTCGGAGGCTGCGTCCTCCAGAGGTCTCATTTAAAGGCTGCATACCTCATCAAGGATGTCTTATTTAAGAAAATTAACAGTAATAAAATTGACTGTTAATCCTCGTGAGGAAATTTCTTTCTTACTTTGCAATCTAGCGGTTATTTTTCCTAAATGAGACCGCCTCAATGACGTATACAGTCTTTAAATGCGACCTCCAGAGGACTCACCCTCCGAATTGGGACACAGCAGGGTAATAATAATGAATCATGTGATCAGTTAACTGACCTTTCAGGCCATTGCCATTGGTGACATCATCATAATATGCAGTCTTGAACTCTTTTTCTATTAAGATATAATAAGTTTTAGTATTGTGAACAGTTGAATTAGTGTTAAAATACGTAAATTATTTATTTTACAATTGTAAATCAAATTATTGATTTGAATCTTCTTCAGCTCTCTAACCTGAGAGAAGCTCATCAGCATCTTCATACCCAGAATGCAGTTCTTCAGAGACGAGACTTCCTGATAAAGGAGACCAGAACATTCAAAAACATGTTTATCATTCCAAACAGATTGAATCCTAATTTTTTTCTTTGGATCATAAAGCATTGTTACTTACAACAAAACACAAATATTAATTACTTACATTTTAAAATCATTAGAGGCAGAAATCTTAAGTTGTAGGCCTATTAGCAAACACACATGTATCCTCACATGAACACATGAACCCTCACTGCCTTCCAGAAATACACACAGGAGGAGAGACAAACACACACACACACACACACACACAAACACACACAAACACACCTGCACCTACTTACAAACATGAACCCCTCCTTATAACCCTCAAAATACTCACAGGAAGAGACACTCACTGACACACACACACACACACACACATGCACCTGCAGCTCTGTGGTTTTCTGAGAGGAATTCTGTGGTTTAAAGCCGGAGGTTTAACAGGACTAATAATAGATGAACATCAAGTGTCTGACAGACTCTCTTATTAATCATATTAAATAAGATTCATGTCTCATGTCTCACCTCTCTGAGTGAAGTGTTTGTGTCTGTGATGAATCTCCTCATAAACGGCCTCAGTCGTCGTCCTGTGTCTCCTCTTAGAGAGAGCTGTGAGTGTAGACAGACAAACCTGCTGTCAGTTCACAACACATGACTGATCACACACTGAATAAGACACAATATGACAGTCTCTGGATCTCTCCTACCTCTCCTCATCACTCTGTTCTGCTGAACCAGTATAAGCAGTGGCACTAAGAGCAGTAAGAGCAAAACTCCCAGTACAACCAGCACAGAGAGAGACGCTGCTGGAGGAGTTTGTGGAGGAGTGACTGATGTTGAGCGCACTGTCTGAGAAACTGGAGGAGAAGCTGATGTTGTTGTGGCAGGAGTAGTGGACACTGACAAATCTGGCAAAACAGACACAAACACATTAAAAATCATGGAAATAGACTTAGAAGATTATTAGCATTTAAATGACTTGGTCAGTGTGTTGCTGTGACCTGCACATGTGAGTCCAGCGTGCTCTTTGTGAGAACAGTCAGTGTGGTTCTTCAGGGAGAGAGGACAGTCCCACAGGTGAATCTCATTCCCTCTGCACTCGACTCTGTTCAGCCACACAACACCTTCACCAGCACCAAAGACTGAATTCCCATCAGCCCTCAGTGCGTCTCCACAACCCAGCTGCCTGCAGACCACCTGAGCATCGCTGATGTCCCACAGATCAGCACAGACTGAACCCCACACAGCGTTATGATACACCTCCAGCCTCCCAGAGCACCGGCCCAAACCTCCACTCAGTCTGAGAGGAACATGATCTAAATCACACACAGCAACATCACTGACCAGCAATACATTTACAATGCATTTTATAACAATTTAAAGTTGTGACAAATTATGAATGTGGATTCAGTGTTCAAGTGCACAGAAACGAATACTGTGAATAAAGAAAATACATCCTTATAATTATCTTACTTGAACACTGTCTCTGGTGAGGAGATTCTGAGGTAGAACATGTCAGACGACTCCGAGGAGATTCACGAGTCTGCTCCTCTAAAATTAAAATGTTAAAATTTAACTCAATACTGAATACTGAAAAGAACAATTATAAATAATAATAATAATCATACTGTTACGTTCCACGTGTGTTTTTGTATTTTTAATTTTTTTTTCTCTTTTACTGAAACAAACAAACTTTTGAAAAAAGTTGTCTTCCAGAACAAAGTTTTCCAACTTTTTAAAATCAGTTAAATATGATCTTACCTGAGCAGGTGATTTTGGCCACTTCATTATCACAGTCATTCTGTCCCCAGGGTGAAGATGGACACTGCCATAGAGTGGAATCATGACGTCGACATTTAAAATAATCAAGCCAGTTATGAGACTTCAGTCCCTCTGAATTACTGGGTTCACTACCAGATCTTCCACAGTTCAGCTCCTGACAGATCAGACTCGCTGTGTCTCTGTCCATCTTGTTGTAACACACATTACCCCAGGATCCATTGTAGAAAACCTCCACATTCCCTTCACAGCCCTCAGTTAGCCTGATCTCTTTAAACTCTAGATGGAAAAGGATGAGATTGTGAATCAATGCATTAAAACAATAGCTGTTGATGTCTAATCACTGTCTTTTAAGAAGAAGGCATACAGTGAAATAATTGGTCTCAACTTTACATATATAAAATAGAGGACACTAAAACCAAAAATGTGGAAACATATTTCATTCATTAGTGTATAAATATATAAACCACTACTTTTGTTTTAAATCGCTTGCACAAAATTTCTGAAACTTTGGACAAAATATGCACACAAGATCCAAAACTTCGCACATCTCTTGCAAAAGCAAAGACTTCATTTAAATCTATATTACAGTTTTTTATTATTGTTTACACACTTTGTATTTGAGGCTCACTTAGCGTAACCATTCACTCATATACCTAATCTTCAGACCAAGTCTGCAAAACTGCAAGCAGTCAATGTGAAAAATGTAAAACACTGAGTCTATTGTTTATTTTGCTTGTTCAGTGTGCAGTGGAGTGTACAGGAGTTTCTCACACTTACATGTATGTGCACAAATACTGTATATACAGTATGATTGCACACTCGATAAACTTTGAAGTCATTGAACTGAACTGAATAATGACACTATTAGCTTGTTAAAGGTACAGCAGAATTTGTTACAATTGTGAAGCTTCTTTGACACAATCTGTATTATATAAAGCGCTACAGAAATAAATGTGAATTAACTTATTCAGTATATAAAAAAAAATATAAAAAAAACAGAAATCCAAGGGACAAAAGTTTATTTGTTTATGAGTTTTGATTTCTAAGTGATCAAATTAGGTATGTTTAAACTTTGTCATATGAGCATCCAGTCAGTAGTTGTAAGATGTATCCCTTTCATTCACTCAAAAGAACCAAATCACTAGAGTATTTGTTCGGAAATCAAACTACAACTGTCGCACTGTGTGTTTTACGAGTTCACACTTACAAATGATTAGCTAGAGTAAAAGAGTATGAGTATTTGGCGTGCTGTCCGAGGCAGAGCTCCGAGCTCAGAATGCGGCCCGAACCTAGAGTTACTGCCCACCAACCCCCACCCCCATCGTCAAGATATCATTTTACTGTTCACCTGAACACACGACTCCTACATCCTCCTTGTGTCGACAGTCATGTTTCCCCCAGCCTGGAGAAGAGCAGTTCCACAGGGACGTCTCATTCCCCTCACACTCCACCTCATCCAGCCATATGGGTCCAGAACCAGGACCAAACCAGGCTGGTACCTGCTGGTTACTGAGGGCCACTCCACACTGCAGCTGTCTGCACACCACATGGGCATCTTTAATATCCCAGGAGTCATCACACACTGTCCCCCATGAGCCGCTGTGAAAAACCTCCAGCCTCCCTGCACAGTCTCCCCCAGAACCCACCAGCCTGATGGACCCGCGACCTGATATTCAGAGAGAGAAAAACTGTGCTTGTACATGAGCATTATTTATCATCAACTAAAGTATCTGTCCAGATGATGATTTTCTCACCAAAGTTTTTGATTGACAGCTGTTGTGTGGAGCTGCAGTTGAGAGTGTGTGGAGAGCTGCAGTTCCCCAGATGAGCTTCACTCTCTGGAGAGAGTATTTATTTGCAATTCAGTATTTATCGAAAATGTATACTACATTTTAATCTGAAACAATGACTTCATCACGGTGTGAATTTGCTCACCAGAGCAGATGACTTCAACAGCTCGTCTATGAGAACATTCAGCTCGACTCCATGAAGAGATGGAACATTCTGAGAGTTTTGTTTCATTCCCGTCACAATCAAACACATCAGCCCAGATTTCACCACTTCCCTCTCCAAACCAGTCTGATCCCACAACAGACACAGCAATCCCACAATTCAGCTGTCTACAGAGGACACTGGCAGCTCTCATATCCCAGCATGCATCACACACTGTGGCCCATTCATTGAGTAACCGAAGCTCCACTCTTCCAGAACAAGAGTCTGAGCTGTTTACCAGTCTGAGATCTGTGTAACCTGTGCAGAGAACTGAAAGCTTATTTAAACATGAAAATAGAATCCAGATAATTGAGCAATCCAACATCAGGATATTAGGAATGTAATTTATCTAAATAAATGCGAAATGTTTATACTTAACCAGAACAAATCACTCCAACATCATTGTCATGGGAACAGCTGTGTATCTGTGAAGATGATCGTGAACAGAGTTGAATCTGAGACTCATTTCCTCTGCACTGAATCTCCTCTGACCAAACTCGACCCTTTCCTTTGCCAAAAGCATCTTTTCCCAGCACCTGTACAGGAGCTCCACAGTCCAGCTCTCTACACACAACCTCTGCATCCTGCTGGTCAAAGGCAGCGTCACACACTGTGCCCCATCCTTCTGTACGAAACATCTCCACTCTCCCAGAACACAGGTGAAACCCGTCCACGAGTCGAAGTCGTTGCTCTGAGTCTTTAAATTATAAAGACAGATCATTAATTAAACATCTCTATTCACCTGGAACACTACACAAATCTGTCATTAAATTTTGACATTTTAAATTTCATTCATTCACTTAATCTGAATTTATTTTATCTGTAATGTTATCTTTCATCTGTAATTTTATAATCTTCATTAAATAAAGAATGTAAATAAGATTGTCAAATCAGACTGTGAATAATAAATAAGACATTAGGCCTATTTAGTGGGGATTCTCTGCATCGTATTTTATTATAAGAAAATAAGGAATGGGGATAAATATATCATGAACAAAATAATGAATCACATTGCATGTTTCATAAGATTTACTGATGAAGTTTGTCCTCACCGGCATACAGAAACATTATATTGCTTGAGTGAGAATTATGAAAGAGTGATGTGATAACAAGCTGAGGGACAGCTTACCTGAACAGACGACACCAGCATCTTGACCATGATACAGTACTGTGCATATTGACTATCTGATCTGCAGTCTTTCAGTGCAGTCTCTGATCCACTACACTCTACTAAAGCCATTGAAATTGGTCCTGATCCACGTCCAAAATCAGCTTCATATGTTGCTTTTACAGCCGTCCCACAGTCCAGCTCTCTACACACCACTGCAGCATCAGCAATATCCCACCAATTATGACACACTGTTCCCCACTGACCTCTCTGAAGAACCTCCACTCTTCCAGCACAGGGATTATTGCCATTCACCAACCTCACACTCACACTGTCTACACATGAGCGACAGGGAGACAACTAGTAAATATACCAATGTAAGTGTAACAGTAAATTATTTCACCTCATATGAAAGAATAAAGCACCTCTTTATGTACTTACCAGAGGTGGTGAGTTTTACCATATAGCACAGAAACATCAGCATCAGAAAGCTCTTCATCTTCTGCTCGACACACACTCGTCAGCTCAGAATGCAGCACAAGTTTCTCCTCTGCTCCCTCACACACACACTGAAGAAACTGGCTCCTGTCAGTCCCCTAAAGAGAGAGAGACTCTCACAGCTGCCAATGACACTCACTGTTACCTTATTAGACACAACAGAGGAAATCATCAAACAACTTCAGTGACAAATCAGAGGAGGCATTTCTGATTTTCTCCATATATATATCAAGAGAACATCTGCGCTGATGAGCGGGACTCCTCCTCCACCATGAAAAGACACTTCACTGAGGATAATCATATATTTGATAAGTCAGGATGGAGATAAAGTCACACAACTTAAAGGAGATTGATATAAAAATACTACAGGTTATATTCAGCATCAAAGCCTCCGCCTGCACACAGGAGATACAAGACTGGTGACTGATTTATGAAAGTCTAATCACTTCAACACTTGTAACTTAGTAGAAAACTTAGTAGAAGTAGAACATTTTTTTTCATGAATTATTTGAATAAATGTAACATTTTAATCTCATTGTTTCTGGATAAATTATGCATAATATTACTATTTGTGGAGTTTACTGCTTTGTTCTTTTATTCTAAAAAATACAATTTTATTACACCATAGTATCAAATTGTTCTTTTATACTAAAAATACAATTTTATTAAACCATAGTATAAACTATATTGTTGCTAAGCTATTCAGATGTGTTTTTATTAAATTAAATATTATCTACATAAATAGGTAAACCTATTTAAAATAAATAAATAACAGCAATGGATGTTCGTTTAATGCTGTATTTGTCCAGCAGATGGCAGCAAAACACCTTCTAAAGACTCTAGTGTTGCACATTTCAGGACGGCAATCAATGGTTTTTCTTCACTTATAGCAACATTTATAAGTAACTTGTTTCATGTAGTAGAGCTCATTTCACTGCACATTTATTTTACACTTGATCTGCTGTTGGGCCACTCCACAAAATGGGTGACATTTTCTTGTTGTAACTTCAAAATTAAACTTTATTTTTTTAATCTTTTTTCAACACTGAATCTAATACTACACATATTTAACTATTCAAAATGTGTATTGGTCAATCTCAGGTAACTTTAATTTTTAATTTGTACAAGATGTCTAAGCAGAAGATGGACGCATGTTTTCTCAGTCATATTACCGAAACTCATGTGCCATTTAAAAAGCATGTTTAAAAGCATGCCAGTTAATTCCTTTGTTTTCCTCACAGTTAAGTGTTTATTTTAAAGAAATTGTTGGTTGTATGTTCAAATAAGCTAATTGATATTTGTGACACAAAAAAAATCACTATATATTAATGTAAGGTGTATGTTAATAAGAACACAGAGCCATTTTGTTATCTTAAAGAAGACCGAAGCCTCAAGTTTATCCATCTTTTTTTATAATTTAATTTATTAAACAATTGTATAAATGATGATAAACTGATAAACTGATAAAAACAGTGGTTTACCTTTATTTTTTTATAAAAAGAAACAGGACAAATACTTATACAGTACGTAACAGGAATGAACACTTGGTAACAGGAATGAACATTGGGTAACAGGAATGAGTGTCCATATGTGTGTGCATGTGTGTGTGTATGAGAGAGAGTGTACATGACTGTGTGTGCATGAGATTTCTGTGTTGAAGTGATACTCTGTGCCAGTAGTACTTCACAGTGAAGGAGGTGGAAAGAGAAAGAAGGAGAGAGAGGAGAAGAGAGAGGGAGGGAGAGAGAGGGAAGTTAAGATAGAAAGAGGGAAAAGAGAGGGTTTCTGTGTGTTTCGCTCTTTCCCTTGCAGGATGCCATAGGTGGGTGTTTCTGGCACCTGAATAGTATGGGTTCTCTCAATCTTCTACAAAATATAAGACAAAAACAAAAAGTTTAAGTCACTTCGTGGTGGACTGGCTCCCTGGAAGCATGGTATTCACATTGTAAAACTAATACTAATGTCTACAATTTAAGTAATTGCAACCTTAAAACTCATAATTCAGGTGAATAGTATTATATCAACTAATATTTACAATATTAAATCAACAAAACAGAGGACTCTACTTATTCCTGTTACTTTAACTCATTCCAGTTATTTTTCAAATGAGTAACAGGACTGAAAGTAACAGGATTGAGTTTGTAAGCAAAAAGTTATCAAATACATGACATATGGTCACATAGCATTCATGCTAATAGAATGAAGACACTGGCAAATTCTGGTGACTTACCAAAAGTTAATATTTTTTAAATAAACAAATAACATAAGAAACAATTTAGGTAACAGGACAGTACGTTGAGATCGACCTTGTCAGTCATATTTACAATTTCTTCAAATATACAGAAATTAAAATAAGAGGACTTACTTATGGTCTTCCCATTGCCTTCAGACATAGACAGTAAAAGACGATCCAGATGATGCTACTTCCTGTTGAAAATGTGTCTTGTGGCATGTTCCAAGTTTTTCAGAGGGGGGAATGTGGTAACTGGGGACACGACTAAAATGTGTATTTTATCTAAGATATTAAGATATTAAGATATTTTCTCATTAAAAAAAACAAACATTTTAAGCATAATTAGATATATAGTCACAGAACAATGCAACAAAAATAAGATTTCTGAAGGATTTTAATCATTACTCTGTATGGTAAAGTTTAGATAAAGGGGGACATGCAACAAATGCTATTTTTTTGTTGTGTTAGTTTTTATGAATGTTTTAATTATACATTTTAAATGTGCAGTTATAGCTTAATGTGCGGGACACTTTAATAAATTGTATTTTAGAGCTATTTTCATGCATTTTTATAATGTCACCCATTCGGTGGAATGGGTGAAGCAGAGTGACAGAATGTAGGCCTATTCACTCATAGCGGGATTTTAATATTAGGGTTTTCACTGACAATCATTTAAATTTGCCCTGTGATCTTGATTATTTGGCCATCTCATATTAGTTTAGCATACATGATGATGGTTAATTCTAGAATAAATGGAAATGGAAACATTTTACTACATCAAATTAGTTTCAAAAAGAAATAAAAACTGCAGGGTTTTTACAGCATCTTAAAATGTTTTTTTTTAGCTTGATGTCGTTAAAGCTCTTGCTGAATAGGCTACAATGAAAAAAGCAGCGTGTTCAAAAACATCCGTTGAATGTTTACAATATCATAGCAAAACAATAATAATAAAAAAGGGCAGAGAACGTTTTGTGTGAACCAAGATGTACAGTAACAATTGTGCCATTGATTTATGACACCACCAGCTGTTCCTTGTAACAATAGCCTAATGTTGTTCCACGTAATACTTACATATATTTTCAGCATAAAAATGTTTCAACCGTAAACAGATACTGTTTTGTGGTGTTGTTGCTATTATCGAGGATGCGCCGCGTTTGTGTCACCAAAGAAACTCTGTTCTAAATCTGACCGCAAGATGAACATCCTCGTCAGTGACCGCGGGTCTGGTCCGAGCAAACACGAGTAAAGGCGCTCTCCACTTCATTCATTTAGTACTGGATTTAACTAAACTAATTAATACCAACTTTTTTTGTATAGACCTTGATGAGTAACACTTGTTCAGGTAAGAGCTGTAATTCTGTATTTAAGAATTCCTCTCTAGGCTATAATAACTTAACTCAACTATGGAATTTTAGTTTGAGGCTTCATGAAATCAGTATTTAATCATGTATTTAGTTTAATGTCACAAATTACGCAGAGCGCTAACATTCAACTCTTATTTATTGTTAAACACAGGATGTGTCAACTGTCAACCTTTATCTGTCTGTAAATCATGTAAAAATCATATACTTGATACCCCTCTTTCAAACCTTAGCAAGTTCGACTTGAGATCAAACATGAAGTTTTACCACAGAAACCTGTTCCTGTTCCCCCTTGACATTGTGATGGTGGGACAGGTCTGCTTATAATAACGTCAGCAGTGCCAGTGATGATGACTAAGACTAATCTGCATTTCACTTCTCAAAGTCTTAACATTCCTAAAGACGATAAGGATTGCTGATGTGTTGCTCTTTCTCTGTTTCTTTCTGCTGCCTGGGACCCATGCAGGCATTCAGTACAAGACAATAAATGATGATTCCTGAATTAATCAGCATAATTCCCTGTATTGGATCTAGCTTTGGATTCCGTCCCAGTTGTGCTCTCACGTCTCTCGCCTATTGTATCCTGACCTGTTCAAAGACGGCCAAGGTAAGCAGCGCTGGAATCATGTCAGAGATCGGACACGTTAGAGACACACGGGTCACCAGGAGTGGCTCAAACCAGGATGAGAAGCAGCCGAAACCGCAGCCAAGGAAAAGTGTGAAGAAGAACCCAGGATGGGGACACATTGCTATGTTGGACAAAATAGAGGACTTCTTTCAGATCTGTGACAGCGAGGGAAAGGGCTTCATCACACGCACTGATATGAGGGTAAAGTAGGGGTCCTTAACTTGACAGGTCCTTCACCACTTGAAATTTTCATTCTTTCATTATTATATATATATATATATATTAAATCTGCCATGGCTTTGGTATAACTAGACAGCTCTGTATTCAAATTATGTTTTTGTATTTTTTAGCTTTCTATGCATGGCCATCAATTTTTTTTTAATTAAAAATTTTGGGTGCATAGGTGTCTGTTACAGTTCAAGCAAGGAAAGAGGAGCAGAGGACCTAAATTGTAGTAGTCTTTTATTTAAAAATGAAAACAAAGTTCATCCAAAACACTGGAATCGTAGGAATAGATAAACGTAACAGTTTCTGCTTCTCCTCAAAGACAACACAGGACAAATGAACTGAAACAATCTGACATCTTAAATAGACAGGCTAAATTAGGAACCAAACAAGACACAGGTGAACATTATCAATTAACCAATGAGTAACCATAGTAACAAAGGACAAGCAAACAGGAGCTAAACACAGGAAGGAAACACAGAAACAACATAAGAGTCTACAAACAGAACATAACCATAACAGTTGCATTATTTTCCCTCCTGTGTATAAGGATTTGTTATTTACAATGTTCTATTAGCACTAAGGGTTAGGCTATCAGAATATCTAGATGGCTGAAAATAGTGTTAATGATGTAATTTTTCCATCTGTTTCTTGAGTATTTAATCATAAACCATCATTCTCTCTATCTTAGAGGCTACTCAAAGAATTGCCACTCACTGCCGAGGAACTCGAGAACGTTTTTGACTCACTAGACCTGGAAAAAAATGGATACCTGACCATGGG